AGGCCTTCGCACGCCTTTCTGGCGTCCTGCTATCCGGGTTTTGGACTCCACAAGTCTCATCCAGGTTCCTGGTGTACATTGTATGTTGGCTTTGTACCTCTGGTGGTTACCCACGCGGGGTCGTGGCGGCCATCTGTTGTGGTCAGGTCTGCTCTGCGGGAAGAAGGCGGTGCTTTGTAGGTCTCTGAAGGTGCGCGGCTCCGCCAGCGCGCTTGACTCTCAGCCGCTGGCGTTTCCGAAGCCTCGCTCTGCTTCTCACCATAGAGACACATCGTCTGGCTTCTGGTGAGTGGTAACTAGTTGCTGTACATATTCATCCAAACATCGCATCAAGTGTCTCATCACTTAAGACATCTGGTTCAACTTCTTGGAAATATATTGAAACAAACCTGGGCCACTGTCCTCCGTTATCGCTGGAAAAAAAACGAACGTGCTCAAGAAACTAGGCCAGCTTTCCGGCAAGTCGGTTCAGAAACGCTGGCCCAATTTTTTTCGGGAGGGGGCTTCTTAATCAGATGCTCGACTGTACATCTTGTATCTTGCGGCGCGCTCCACCCCCCCAGACATTCGGCTCCTCCAATTTTTTCGATGCACGGGCCCTGGTGGTCTGGACCACTTCCCCGGGGCCTGTTTCTCGTCCTGAATCGTTCTGACGCTCCCGAGGCCCTGCGATGGCCCCCGGAGGCCGAACTCGGCCAACGCCGCCAGCTCCAATTTTCTTGGAGCGTCGGATCTCTCTGGGCCCGGAGCTCTCGATCCATCCCCGGGGACCAGGTCCCCTGGCAGGAGAGAAGCGCTCCCCGCACGCCGCCTGGCCGACCAGTGCCGCGCTGGGCCCCCTCCGTCACGGCCCCCTCTCGCCCGCGAGGCTCCCCCCCTGGGAGCTCTCGACCCACTCCCGGGGGTCAACTCTCCTGGCAGGAGAGATCGAGTGGGGGATCGACTGCAGAACAAGTGTGCCCCGAACTTGATTTTCCCGCCCGATATTTACGAGACATGCGCAGTATGTTCCGTGCATCGACGGGGCACTCTACGTGTCCTTTCGCAGAATCGGCGGGGACATCACTTGTGGGGTACGTCGATTCTGTAGCTGATCCCCTACTCGAGAGTGAGCGCTCCCAGGAGCAGCCTCGGGCGCAGCCCGACCGACCGATGCCTTGACTTATGTTGCTCCCATCGTACTTAAGGACCTCATCCCAGAAGTAATCTCGAGCACCCAGGAAGGTATCGAACAAGTGTCGAGCGAGTATCGCCTCGCAGGGCCCGACACGCGAAAACCCTCCATGTTTCGATGCTCTCTTGGTGCTCGAAAACTCTTCCTGGTGGTCTGGGCTAACTAAAGGGGCCCAGGGACACACACATACATACACACAAGTAACAGGATTCCCTATATTTCCATATACTTTATGGGTTTTTGTATTCCTCCCACTTCCCATATTTTCCCATATTTTCCTGGGAGTCGACGGTTAATAGTGTCTGTGTTTGTTTTTTTCCCCTCCTGGCTGAAGTGTTGGAACATCAGAAGCCGTGACGAGCTTCTGCCGTTCTGGCCCCCTCGCCCTCCAGGCGGACCCTCCGGCCGCCTGTCCGCGCCCTGGGCCTCGCCATCGCTCGGACGTTCCTCGTGCACTCTTGCCGGTTCCGTTTTTTTTCTTTTGTTTTGATGTTTTTTTGTTTTGTTCCCCCCCAAAGGTGGTCCAGCAAGCTCCTCGATGCTTCGTGCCGAGAACAATTACCACACGTCCGAGCGACGCCAAGTGCCAGGAAAGCAGGGGAAGAGCGGCACCGCCGCCCGCAGCGCGAGGAGGCGCCGGGGAGGGTCCTCCGGGTGGCGTAGGCCCCCCCCCCCACACACCTCTCGCTCGGGACACCGCGGACCCCCTCGCGGGAGGTGCCCCCCCCCCCCCCCCCCTCCCCCCCCCCCCCTCCTCCTCCTCCTCCTCCTCCTCCTCCTCCTCCTCCCCCTCCTCCTCCTCCTCCTCCTCCTCCTCCTCCTCCTCCTCTCCTCCTCCTCCTCCTCCTTCTCCTCCTCCTCTCCTCCTCCTCCCCTCCTCCCTCCTCCTCCTCCTCCTCCTCCTCCTCCTCCTCCTCCTCCTCCTCCCCCCCTCCTCCTCCTCCTCCTCCTCCTCCTCCTCCTCCTCCTCCTCCTCCTCCTCCTCCTCCTCCTCCTCCTCCTCCTCCTCCTCCTCCTCCTCCTCCTCCTCCTCCTCCTCCTCCTCCTCCTCCCCCCCCGTGGTGGTGTCGCTTCTTGGTGCTCCGACTTGGGGCGAGGCGACGGGTGTCGTCAGAGAGAACGGGTCGGTCTGCTAGGGGGGGCGGCCAGGCTGCCCCTGAGAAAGCCGCGCGAGCCGGGGCATCCCTTCATGCCGCCCCCCAGGCAGGGGAAGAAGCAGCCAGACGTTGGGACCTCGTGTTCACCGATCTTCGACAATCTGTTTTTCCCAGCCGTCCAGTGGTGTTAGGTCCTCGTTTTGAAGAAACAGCGCCCTGCGTCCTTCATTCTCTTCCCCCTCACCCTCCCATCCCTGCTTCTGCCCTCCGTATGGGTCTGCTTCGGCGTACCCCTCTCACGTTTCGTGTTCCCACCAGGAGCTCCACCGAAGGCTCTTGTGGCAGGGTCCGCATGCGTCCCCCCGCCCAGTTCGGCACACACCTCACACGCTTCGTGGCCCATGATGAATTTCACCGAAGGCGGTTGGTTGGGCTCTTTGCCGAACTCATTTTCAATCCGAGCATTTTTTCGATTTAGGCCTCTGGGGCCCGCAATCGGGCCCCGGGAGCACCAACGACGGATCCAGGGTGGAAAGCTGGCCCCGGGGAAGCGGTCGGGACTTCTGGGGCCGCAGATGGAAAACATCAGACCGGCGGATGTTTGGGATGTTCGCCATCGCGCGGCCGCCCAGTCTGCAGAGGTCTGGAAGCGGCGCGGGCGGCGGCGCCGAGGAGAAGCAGAAAGGGCGCGAGCATCCCAGAACAGAGAGGCGTCCCTCGCGAATTCATCGCTCACGCGATGTGGAGCACCGGAGTGTGAATGGCACCCGAGAGCGCCGTTTTGCCTTTAATGCCCTGTAAGACGCTCTTATTGGACCGGTGGTCGCACGATGCACTTCGCAACGGTGATGACCTGCAGTGGAAACGGGGCAGCCCTGGACCTCTTGACCTGCGTTCCTCCGCCTCTCTCCTCCTCATCTTCGCTCCCCCCTCCTCCTCGATCCTTGCTCCTTGCTCCTTGCTCCTTCCTCCTCTATACTGTTTATCCCTACTACATCCTCCGTCCCCCCCTCTCACCCCCATCCCTCCTCCTCATCCTTCTTCTTCCTCCTCTCTCCTACCACTTCCGCCCTCCTCCTCCGTCCCTTTCCGTTTCCCTCCGTTCCATTCTCTCCCTTCCGCTCCACAATCTCTCTCTCTCTCTCTCTCTTCCTCTTCCTCCTCGCCCGCGCCCTCGCCCTCCTACCTCGTCCTTCTCCTGCTCCTGCTCCATCATCCCTCATGGCCTCCTCCTCCTTCACCTCCTTCCGCCTCCTCCTTGGGTCCTCTTCCCTCCTCCAACTCGTCGTCCTCATTTCTCCTCATGGCCTCCTCATCGTCGTCTCCGTTCTTCCTCCGCTTCATCCTCGAGGCGGTGCGCGACACACGCCGCTGCCTGCACCAAGGCGATCTTGGCCCTCTCGGCTTCAGGCCCGGAGGGGTCCTGGCAGGGGTGGGCGGAGGGCGCAGGGAGGAGATTGGAGGGGCGGCGAGCGAGATGGGACCAAGAGAAAGACAGAGCCAGGACGAGGATAAGCATCGGGTGATGAAAAATCGCTTTTTTCCACGATTTCGGCCTTAGGGGCGCGCTATCGGGCCTGGGGAGCTTTGTAATTGGACCCAGGACGAAAAATCACCTCCAGAAGGTCGGGACCTCTGGGGCAACGGATTGAAAAATCATATCGGCGGATGTCTGGGTAAGACGAAGCCAAAACGAAGATAACATCGGGCGAAGATAAATCGGGAATGTCTGAAATCCGGCGGCTCTGGAGGATGCCTCGGGCGCCGCGGCCTTCTCAGAACGTTCCGTAACGCTCCGAGAGCATCCTGGACCGCTCTGGAACGGACTTATCCTCGTCCTAGCCCCGTCCGACCATTCCTCTTCTCGCTGCGGAAGAAAAGCAAAGCGGGAAATCTTTGCTAATTGTCGGCCTCTGAGGCCGCTACCGGGCCATAGGGCCGTCAACAAGAACGGTTCGGCATGGAAGGCCAGTCCCAGGGAAAAGGTGCAGCCCTCTGCGGGTCCACGCTGTGAGCAAATCACGACGTAAGAGGTCTGAGGAGGAGAAAAGGAGGCCTAGTCAAGTGCGCTCGCGCCATATTTGGTATCCTACCCCTCCCGCCCATTGGGCTGCATTCTTTTCTGTCTTCCAACTGGGGTGACCTAGGGGACCCTGATCCCCAAGAGGGCCCCATCGTGTGATGCTGCAATCAGGCAGGGGGTCCTTGAGCGTTGGAGGAGTAGGAGGAGGAGACAACCGTGGAGAGGGACACGCCAAGGCCATGACCAAATACCACGACGCCCCAGGACACACTGCTGAGCCACTCGCTCCTAGAAAGCTCGCCCCCTCTGAAGCAGGAGGGCTCACAATGACAATGACGATGACGACGATGATGATGACGATGATGATGATGCTGAGGATGATAGTGGTGTTGATGATGCTGCTGACGATGATGATGATGATGATGCTGCTGCTGATGATGATGATGATGATGATGATGGTGATGGACATAATGATGACGCGACTGATGGTGATGATGATGATGATGATGATGATGATGGTGATGATGATGATGATGATGATGATGATGATGATGATGATGACGATGCTTATGATACTGATGATGCTGCTGCTGATGATGAGGATGATGATGCTGATGCTGATGCTGATGTCGCTGCTGCTGATGATGCTGATGATAATGGTGGTGATGATGATGCTGATGCTGCGGATTATGCTGATAATGATAATGATGATCCAACATACGTTTGCAACGACATTGTCGAGATTGCCACGCAAGCCAACTCTCGCAGCCTGGCCGCTGCAGGTCGGTACCGCCACGCACACCCAGCACACTTCGTCTGGGGCCATGGCGGCCGCTGCCTACTGTACAGCAGGGCTCGAATGAAGTTGAGCACCCACAATGTGGCGTGCCAGCTCCTCCAGCATAACAACTGGATAAGGGGGAGAGCGGGGAGGACAAGGAGGGCGAGGCTCTCGAATAGGAGAGCGACGAGGAGGACGAGTAGGACAAGGCGAGAGAGGACAAAGACGACGGAGAGGACAGTCAGGAGGACGAGAAGGAGGGCGAAACGGAGAAGAATGACGACGAGCACGAGCAGGACGTGCAGCAAATGAGGGTCCCTCCGAGCTTGCGGGGCTCTGGGGGCTGCTGGGACCGCTTGCGGGGTGGCCATTCTGGGTCGCCTTGGGAGCCTCTGAGGAGTCTTTTCAGTTCCTGTCGGGGGCTGCTACGGCCTTCTGGAGTTGTCCGGGTGTGTCTTGGGGTTCTTTGGGAGCTCTTTTGGGCCGTCTTGCGCTTTTGGGGGCCTCTGGGCGCCTCTTGGAGGCATATTTGGACTTGCTCCCCCTCCTCCTCCTCCTCCTCCTCCTCCTCCTCCTCCTCCTCCTCCCCCTCCTCCTCCACCTCCTCCTCCTCCCCCTCCTCCTCCTCCTCCTCCGCCTCCGCCTCCTCCTCCTCCTCCTCCTCCTTCTCCTCCTCCCCTCCCAACCCTCGAAGGCAATGGGCAAGTGTTGCCGCGCAGAAGTAGACGCAACAACTCGACATGATCTGAGAGAAAATCCGCCACCGAACCGTAGACACCGAGTGGAATGTCCTCTCAGGCCCCTTCGAGCATTAAGGGGGCCAGGGCCCCAAATGCCAGAATCTTCAAGGTTTGTCGCGTGACCCTCGGGGCTTGTCGCGTGCCTTTTCCCCTCCCAAGGCCAGAGGGCGCCAAGACGGGCCAATGGGGTCCCCAGAGGGCCCTGGGACAGTCCAAGCGGCTCATAGATAGCCCCCGCGAGTCCGAACGCCCGGAGACCGCCCAAGAGGCATCCGAGACGCCCCAAGAGGGCTCCAAAACGACCTCCAAGAAGGCCCCAAAGGCCAACACCACTAACTCCCTTTAAGGTAGCTGTGAGATATTGTAGCTTTCTCGGATTCTTGTATGATTTTCATCGCTCCAAGGCAATCCAAGTGGTCCCAAAGATCACCCCAAGAAGGCCCATGAGGCCCACAAGAGGGTCCAAGACGGCCCTAGAGGGCCCGAAGACGTCCCATGAAGCCCCCAAGACGGCCCAAGAGGCTTCCACAAAGGCCTCAAGAAGGGCACAAGAGGGGGAACCGGAAATGACCTTGAGAGCCCTGCCTCTGCAGAGTGCACCCAAGGACCCCAAACATGCCCCTAAGCGCCCCCGCCAAAGAGGCCTCGAGAAGGCACACCAAGAGATCCAAACAAGCATCCAAAGGCCTCTGGCCCACAACCCAGGTACGGTGGGGGATGTGCCGAAGGCCACTGTTACCAAACTTCAATATTACATGGGCCAGTGCACCCTGCGAAAATATGACTGGTTGGAAGCGTGAACGGGTCAACAAAATCCAGCCCCATCACCTGGCCACCAACCTGTCCGGACGCATAAGCCATATTCCTTTTGTGCACCAGTCACTGGGGATCATGAGGCACTCTCTGGTTCTTCATGAACAACAACGGGAACATACCGATAAGACAACCGCTTATGATTCCAACGATGCTGGAGCAGGTCTTGACCAGATGCACTCTCTCCTGCTGCATCTGCTCCATGCTCAGTTTAGGGTCTTCCAGGCCAATGGATGCTGCAGCACGCTCGATGGCGCCGTGCATTCCCATGCCAATGCCGTTGGAGAAAGCGTTTCCAAGCGCTGCTGCGGCCATGGTGGATATTCCAAACATGGCGCCCAACGACGCGTCGATCGCCTCCCCACTGATGATCATGAGTCCGTTGTCCACCATGCCAAACCCGATATACGGAGTCATTGTCCGCATGGCGAGGAGTCTCAGCTGGACGTTCGTGGCTGCTGGCTCCTCTGGGGAAGCTGCAGCGGAAACAGTAATGTGCTCGCCCCACTTCACAAACTCGTCCACTGTCAACATGCCATCTTGGTTCTTGTCTGCCTTCTCGAACTCACTCTTCAGCTCCCCAATGGCCCAACCTAATGCAATGTTCGACCGCTGATGGGAGTCCATCGACGTCATTGCTTTCTTAAACACCTCGGCTCCGTCTGCGCGCTCTATCAGCAGATTCCGCAGGTGGGCTGCTGCTTCGTCGGTGCTGAGATTGGCAGCCCGCCACCTCAGCGAGGAGCCGCTCCAGCGCACGCTGCTAGCAGGGGCAGCCGTGCGCTTGTGGCGCACTGCCCTGAACAAGTAAGCGTGCTGCCACCTGCTCACTTCGCTCTTGGCCAGGCGGAGCATGATTGGCAAATGGAGGACCCTGGAACTTGAGCCCAAATGGCCATGGACACCTCCGATGAGATGAGGACGACTGTGACCTTGTACGGAAATGAGGATCGGCTGTCCACGAAGGAGGGCCAATCCCTTGCTGCCAGGGGAGCGCTCAGCCCGTCTGGGCCGAACGATCGAGGGTGGCCCCAGCAGGGGCCAGGAAAACTCAGGGATCAACACCTCTAGAAGATTCCTGAGACAGAAGTTCAAGCAAACTTCAAAGGTAAAGGCTAGTGAATGACTGATCAGAGAAGGAGGTGGGAAAGGAGGGGGAGGACTTGTGCTGGTGGGGCCACGGGGTGTGGGTGACAGCAGCCAGCGGCCTCGCGCCGAGACGCGATCAGAGCAGACGGGCATCATGGGAGCGAGGGGGAGCAGGAACAGGCATGGAGCGAGAGGGCGGCGAAGGCCCTTCGCCAACAGCTCCTCGGCAGCAAGGAGGGGGAGGAGAGAGGGGCTGCCTGTGCGCCCCGCCGCACAGCCCCCCCCCCTGGGGAGGAGAAGACCTCTCCAGCCAAGACTCCGCAACGCGACGCGCGGCACTCTCTCCCGCGCCCCTGCGGGATGCCTTGGCCGCCTGCGCTCGCCTTCAGGCTGGGGGCCCCGCACCGGTGCGGCGACAAACCGTGTGGCGACCTCGACAACCCACGTGAGGTCACCGCACGGCACGCCACCGCACGGCTTTTGGGGCTCTGGAGGCCCCAGCCGCCCGAGGCACCCTCGGAGAGCGACCCGAGTCACCAGACCGTGCGGCTGCCCCGAGCCCTCACTGACTCGCCACACGGTGGGGCTCGTCCGGTGCTCTTGCCCCCTGCGAAACCTCCAGAACGTGGTTCGTCCTCGGGCCTTCCCTGAGATCCGACGTAGCGAACAACATGCAACATGGTGAAAAATCCGCCGATCCGGCGTGTGAGTTTCTGAGGGCGTGGGCTTGAGCTCGCTCAAGCTTCGCTCTGCCCGGGGTGGGGGGGTACCTAATCCGACCTCATCCGACGCATTCAGTGCTCGGCACCCTCCCCCTCGACGCCGGCTCCCCCCCCGGTGCTGCCCCCCCCCCTCCAGGCACTCCCCCCACGATGCCCGCACCTGTGCTCGGCCTCCCCTCCCCGAACCCCCCCCCCCCCGATACCGCCCCCCCCCCGAGTGCTGGCACCCCCCCTGTCCCTCGCATCCGACACTCCCCCCCCCCGTGCTGGCACCCGCCCCACGGTGTCGGCACCCGCCCCTCGATTCTCGCACCTCCTCATCCCGGTGCCGCCCCCGCCCCCTCCGGTGCCAGCACCCCCCCTCCAGTGCCGGCGTGCCAGCACCCCCCCCCGGTGCCGGCCGCCTCCCGCCCTGCCGGCACCCCCGTCGGTGCAGGCGTCCCCCTCCCTCGTGGTGTCCGCCCCCCTCCACACCCACCGTGTGCCGGCACCCGCTCCCCCGGTGCCCGCCCCCCCCCCCCCCGGGCCGGCCCCGCCCCCAGTGCCGCCCCCCCCCCCCGCGCCGACATTTCCCCCTCCCGGTGCTGGCGCTCACTCTTCCCGGGTGCCGGCCCCCCCTTCCCGGTGCCAGCACCTCCCCCTCCTCCTCCTCCTCCTCCTCCTCCTCCTCCTCTCCTCTTCCTCCTCCTCCTCCTCCTCTCCTCCTCCTCCTCCTCCCTCCTCTCCTCCTCCTCCCAGCGGCCGCGTGTCTGCCGCGCGCCGAGAGCACTGTGATCGGGAGCCGGCGCAACCCCCCCCCCCCCCCAGGTGCGACCCGCCGCTCGGCGGCGAGCCGCCCCCGAAGAGCAGGTGGTGCTGGCTGGCGTTGCCGGCGTAGGTGTTGAGCAGCGCGCCCGCGGCCTGCTTCTTGAGCCCTCCTTTCAACAATCGCTCGAGGCCGGCCCAGAGCTTCCCGAGTCGCTCCGTGGCCCCGTCCAGCCAGCAGCCCTGTCCGCCGAGCGGGAGCGCCGCGCCGTCGGCATCTCCGGGCGCCCTGAGCTGCGCGCCGAGGACTGGGGGCACAGCCGCATACTTGGGGGCGAGCTCGGCTTGGACAGCCTGGATCCCCGCGGGAGACCAGACCAGCGTCTTGTCGTCGTTCAGCTCCAGCCCCAAGGGCGCGAGCAGCTCGCGCAGGCCCGCCAGCGCCAGGACTCCGAGGTCCGCCCGCACCGCCAGGTAGCTGTCGTCCAGGTAGGAATGCAGGCGGGCGCCCGGGTCCAGTTGCTGCAGCCGGCGGAGAAGGTGCTCCAGGGCGCGCCGCTGCCCAACGGCGAAGCCCGCAGGGGGCAGGGGGTCACCCTGGTCGAACCCGCGCTGGCTCTGGACCGTTTCGAAGCGCCCGTCGGCCGTGCGCCAGTAGTGCTCCGCCGGGCCCGAGTACCAAACCCTCAAGGCCGCCGCCACCTCAGGAACAGCTTCGTCCATGGCCTCGAGAGCCGGCCCTCGCCGCATCCGTTGGAAAGCGGCCTTTACATCCACCTTGATGAATGTAGCGTCCGGCCGGGCTTCCGCCAGGGCCTGCAGGCTCTTTACCAATACGTTGGAGCCGCCTTTGCGCCCCACGCCGTACTGGTGTTTCCCGGCTGCGTCGGCCAGCTGAGTCTTCCGTGCTCTCGCCAGCGCGCGCAGCCCCAAGCGGCGGAGAGTGGCGCCCGCCAGCAGAGGCCTCACGTCCCCGGCGCCCTTCGCGAGCGCCACGAGCTCCCCCGCGCGCAGGGCCTCGAGCAGCTCCCGCGGCAGCTCCCCGAAGGCGACCCTCGTGGCAGCCCGGGCGAGCAGGCGCGAAGTCTCGCCGTCGGCGGCGCTCGCCCCCAGGTGCTCGAGCCGCGTCCCCAGCAGGCCCGGCGCCGCCAGGCGGGGAGGGCGCCGCAGTAGCTTGCGCACCTCCTCCTCCGCCTCCTCCCTGAACTCGGCGCTGGGCGGCGCGTGGGGCACAACTGGTGGTGGCACCCCGTTGGCGCCGCCAAGTGGCTCCTCCGGGAAGCTCGCCTGCAGTTTCCGCAGCGTCTCGGCGCTGCGCGGCGCCAACTCGGCCTGCACTGCTGCTGCCAGCGCGCGGGCTTCCTCCCCAGCCGCAGCTAGAGTGTGCACCCGGTGTGCCCTCTGCTTGTCGGTCGTCTTCCGCGCCGGCGCTCGCGGGGGTGGGCCGCTCGTGGCCGACGCCCGCAGCGGAGCCCACTGCCCGCCCCACCACATAGCCAATCGTTCTTCCAGCAGCTCCGCGCACGTGGGGCCCGCCCCCCGGGGCCGAGCAAATAACACCAAGTCGAACAACAACAGCATTTTCCACTCTGCTGCGGCCTCTCCGTGCCGGCTCGCCTCTTCCAGGACTTCCAGCGCCTTGCGTCTCGCATGCGTCACTGCCCCGCGAAACCTGTCTGGCACTTGCACGAGCGTAGGGGCCCCGGAGCGCAAGGCAGACCGCCAGTCCAGGCGCTGCCACCAAGCCCGATCAGGGAGGGCCGTGTCGTCCCATGCAGGGTGCATCACTGGAACTTGCCCGTGCTCCTGCTCGGGCCCGTCGGCCTCGCGGCCGCCGTCGGCGTTGCTCCGGCTAGCGGCCGCCGAAGCCAACACCGTTCGCGCCTCCTGGACGTGGACATCCTGTGCACGAGGAGCCACAGCGCGAATATCGTCGTCGGGAGCCGCTTTCACGGAGACGCAGCCCAAGCACAGCCAGCTGTAACGATGACGGCTGCCCCAAAAGCACATGCGCGGCTCCGCAGTCTCAAAAGGCATTGCGCACCCCTTGCACGCAGCTGGTCGCTTGGAAGCGGGCTGAAGGTCCAGTGCCCACTCCCCGCGGCGGCGCCGCCGTCCTCCTCCCTCACCCTCCTCTCCATCTTTCCCCTCCTCCATCAGGTAGCGTAACCGAAGTAGACGGAACCCACGATGAGCACCACCTCACGTCCGCGCAGCTCCTGTAACCGAAGTGGGTGGAGTCCAGGATGAATGCAACTCTCAAGCAAATGGACTACCATATGAAAAGAACACAGTATAAAGATACCTCCTTCTCCTCCTCCTCCTCCTCCTCGTCCTCTACCTCCTCGTCCTTGTCGTCTTCCTCCTCCTCCTCCTCCTCTTCCTCCTCTTCCTCCTCCCTCCTCCTCCTCCTCCTCCCTCCTCCTCCTCCT